CCTTATTTTTTAGAGCTACAGTCTACAGTCATGTGGCAAGAACGGCGTATGTAACTCTTGATATATGTAGATGAACAGTTGTCTTTGCGTACTGGACACTTTGTGACTAGAAGAACTACCTATATGTGTATGCGTTGCTAACTGCTTTGAAAATATGAACCTAAGTTTAACAGAAGAAATTGAAGTATTTGACTTTTGTAAAATTCGAACTGTTCGGTTGCCTTAAAATGAATGCTAATTTTTCAATGCATATTTTTTGTTTAGTTGTCTTATTCCCTCACACATCTGGAGAACATAAGTAATTTTCCGGAATTTGTGAAAGTATTTACGACGTTCGGGGGCGAAATGGTGACGTTGGCTCATAAAACTGGAGATCGGCAACAAGTATGTGTTTCAAGTCTAACTTATTTTGATAGATTATAACTTTATGTCATTTTCAGGACTTAAAAAGTGAGAAGCGAAGGGCACAAATGCAAGTTGCTCGTACAGTACTCGAAAAGTACACGATGTTGTTGCTGACTTCTTCGAAAGTAGACGAGAGGTTTTCAGTTCAATGTTAGACCGTTCGCTTTAGACCTTGCTGCGTCATCCGGAATGTGATTCAGCCCAACAGACGCGAAATGGCGTGTTCAGGCAGATCCGTTTCTCCTTGCAGCTCATCGCCTTATGTGTATCAGACGGTGTGGTTCCTTATGACCCTTGCTGCTTCTGTATGAACTCAGAGTACAACGACGAAGAACCGCTGGATCTCGGTCTTCAGCTGACCGCGACCGTCGCCATTAAACAGCTTTTAGTAATGATTTCTCTCTGAAACGTGTGCACGGTTAATCTCAATACGTTTGCATGCAGGATTCCCTGGAAATGATCCGAATGACTGGCAACATTGGAGTCGGCATCAAGGAACGACTGTGCAGTTCTGTTGATGCCGTGTCTGAGATGATACAGGATTTCACCGACTCCGCCTACACGTCACACCACCACCGGGAACAGATAATCGACTTTATCGGCGAAATCCGATCGAGTTTGACTAGTATGCTGCGGTTAGACGTACGGTGACCAGGCGTTCCATGGAAATACTGTTTGCTACGTGTGCTGGTTATAGGCAGAGTCTGACAAGCTGCATGCTGAGGACATCGATGTGTCGGTGCATAAACTGTCGAAGGTAATCAAGGACTTACAGAAACAGTTGCAGCTGGTGGCCCTCGACCAGACAACGGATGTGTTTAAAGCCAACGAAGACCACATCATTCTGTCGAGTATCAAGTCGTTCGCGGTCTCAGGGGACATAGACGGACTCGAAGACTTCATTGAGCGCTTCCGAGAGCATGCAGAACACGTCGAAGAGGTACGCTTTACTCTCTCTGATTTTTAGGTTGTCTTGAGCATGTTTAGAGTGTCAGACACCTAGTTGAACTTTTCGTTTGCTTTCGTTGAAAAGCATAAACCTTATTATCAATATTGTCAAAATCAGGTACATCATTTGAAGCAGTGGCTGACAACATGAAAAATAAGATAGAAATTCTTATTGAACACGGATCCGGCGTTTCAGCGGGATTGAGACCAGTCTTGCTTAAGGAATCGTTCTCAAATTATCCCAGTCCTTCATAACTTCGGGTGTGTGTTGTAAAAGTTATTTTTTGTCTTGCTACTGATATGGAATCAGCTTCAAATCATCTACGGCACGCTATTGGTATAAGCTTAATAAGCATTATAAGAATGTAATAATCAAAGAAGAGAGCCGTCCTCGTTGTGTTATGACTGATGAATGTTTAGGTTGCACGATTATTACACCATATTTCGTTAACTGACTCGCTCCACATACACACCGGCCACGCGGAACGAAACCTTCGAGCCTTGTCTCCGTTGGTAAGTAGTCATTAAGTCGGTTGCCTGAGCGGCATGGCCGAAAGATGTTTGCTACACATACCACTTTTAGATGGTATTGGCAGGACGAACTCTGTGCCTTCATCCTTCGAGTCGAATTGCGCGCGAAAACCTTGAGGTGTTCTGCGACACGTGGGCTCATGCTGTGAACGAGCTTTCTCGTGTCGCCAAAGAAACTGATTCAGTTTGTCATGGACAAATAGCGGCTGAGAAGCAGGCGTACATGTCTCTTCCAAAACCGGGCGTATGCTTTTTCATATTTATGAACTATACTAGAATTTGTAATATATTGTTACCATCTGTGCGTTAGTGCATATGTTATAGTTGATATCGAAAAAACGGTACATAGCAGATCGGAGTAGAAGAGCAATTTAACAGAGATCCTTTGTCGATAGGAGTCCTATTTTTCTTTCTTTCTTCAAGGCAGTAATATATCATAATGCAGGAATATGATACCGAGATGAGCTGATATCAAATATCTGGATATGCCTCCAGTTTTGCGAAACCCCTGAAGATGAGATGATTATAACAAAACGGTCAGTCCACTAACGTGAAGTTTTTGAAATAGCTTAATTTCATGGGGCAGCCTCAGAATGGAGTCGTTTCTCGAGAAAAGAATGTGCTGCCTGATGGAAGACATGCCAGTGACAGGAAAATGCTGTTGTCACGATAAGCAAAATGCGGAACCAATTTTTCTTCTGCGGACATACGACCTTAGTGAACATCTTTTTCACAATAGCTGGAATAGCGATTTTTCGCTCTCGACAGTTAGTGCAGTCAGCGTCTCTCGCTTTTAAAGATCGAGATTATTACAGCTTTCATCTAATTTTCAGGGATCACTGACTTTCGCCCGATGGATCCATCAGATTTGCACTTCAGGATTTCCGCCCCAGTACCGTCATGTTCACAATACGTTGAGCTCACCGGACTTCTTTGATCATTGCGGACCGTAGTCAACTTCTACATATTTTTTAATTTTCTCTCCTCTTTTCAGATTTATCACAGGACCAGGTATATTAAAAAGCAATGAGAAGGGTTCAGATCTTTGTTTCAGACAGTCATTATTGTCATGCAGCTGTTCATATTGCACTCGTTATACGACAGACCTGGGGTAGGTTTCTGCTTGCCACTGTTGGCGATGATGTTCGCCTGGTTCATTTGACCTTGTGCTTACCAGCTGCTCAGTTACACGGTCCAGCTATCGTTGCTTGTCTTTTACTGTTGACTGCTTTTAAGAGAAAGTGACTTGCTTCGTCGTTTCGTTTTAGGGTCACGTAAAGGACATCTGCTTCGTCGTACGGTTACCTGTTTTCCTCCTGTTGTTGATACAAATGGTCTTGGCTGCCGCAACGACAATGCATTATTTCAAATGATTGCGGGGCAGCTCTGGATTAGTAGCGAATCTACCGCTGATGCCTGTCTGAAATGCCTCGCATGTGACAAGTTCTTTCAATTTGTCCATATCAAATTGGGCGTTTTCCCTTTCCTAAATGCTCACCCAGCTGTTGCTAAACAAACACCACAGAGAAATGTTCGCATCTCGTGTCAAACATCCTTTAATTTCTGCCAGATTTCTCGGAAGACACTCCATCGTCAGTTTGGCTTTGGAAGTGACCTTGCGCCGTCAACGTTTGATGGTGAATGCGATGATGCTGGGCTAGCGTCCCGCCGTCTTGCGGTGACGTTACTTTTGCAACGCCGAGTATGCTCGGCCAAGTGTTATGATCAGCGGCAACGAGTTTGACTGGTGTCGCGTGAAGGGACAAAGAACTACAATAAAACAGGTATAGAATTGATCCTTCTTCTGCAGCGTTGGCAGGGGGCGATGACGAAGTTCATCTTAATCTGTCTGCGAATCAGCAAACAATGGCATGGTCACCGCTGTACTCGACGGGGATCTAAAGCTTCACCACTCAAGGACAATAGAACTGAGATACCAGCATCACGGCGAGCGTCATGGTTACCAGACTAGTAAAATCGTCATCCATCTTTAGACCGACGATTTCGTAGTCATGGTAGTGGCTTTCTAAGAGTTTCAGGGTGTCCAGCTTGTTTCACGCTGCGGTTCGCGTAGAGTCTTCCAGTTTGCCATCACCGTTCAACGTTCAGATGTTTTAACTGGCTATTTTCAGCCTATCGTTGCTGATCCTTCTGTATAAAATTTATTGGTAGAACAATTTGAACTGTTCATTGGATGTAAATCGCTCTTTGAGCATAGTTTAAATGTCTCGCAGTGCAGCGAGATCAGCATGCTGCCGCTCAACACCACAAACGCACGCAGAAACAAATCTCGACCAACGCGCTGTCATAACTCAATGTTTTTTTTCACTTATCCTTTGTCGTCGCGATTCAGTAATTTTGTCGATCCAGTTTTAGATGATTGTTCCCTTGTTATATTGTTAAAGCCACTATGCAGTTATTTGAAAACTATATACTTCTTTTTCAGAAACACGGAAGCACATCGAAACCGATAAAGGCTACCGTTCTGGACATGGAGGTACTTGATATTTCGTGCCGTCTTTGCTAGA